ATTCAAGATGGCTGCAGCTACAAAATGGCGAATTAGTTATCATTTCACAACTACCTCAATATGGGTATGAAATAACGGGGCTTGACTAGTACTATAGTAGTACACTATGAAAAAGAAAATCATATGAAGTATATGAAATGTCCATTTCTAAGCTATAAAACCCTTCTAATATTTGTTGCAGCCCCCCTAAAAGTTTATTAAATAACAAGTGCGTTCTTATCTATTTGATGAATAAACTTTTTTTTTGGAATTGTTCAGTGATACAATAATCCGTTTAATTAAATTTGAACAGAACATAAACATATGATTTTGATTTCAAATCATGGAAACTTTGAAATAATAATAATAATTAAACGTCTTTATTCACCTAAAGTAAGAAGATACAAAATATACAAAAAATATTGAGGTGAATGGACGGAGTGTCAGCAAAGCTGTTTTTAGGGCTTAGGTTAGGTTTAGGGTTTTTTAAATAAGAATTAATATATTGATTTTTATTTGAGGAAAAAAATTGAGTGTGCCATGGATTCGAAACGCTTGAAAGGAAAAATAGGAATAGTAACCGGATCAACATATGGAATTGGTTATGCGATTGCCGAAAAACTAGCAATAGAAGGAGCAACAGTAATTGTGTGCAGCAGGCAAAAGAAACACGTTGATGAAGCAGTAAGCAAGCTTCGCGAGAAAAATTATAATGCTTTTGGTGTAGTATGTCACGTGTCTAATGCAGATGATAGAAAACATTTATTCGAGGCAGCAAAGAAGTTAGGAGGTACGTTTCTTGTTTATTTACGACGCCAACAAAATTCCGAGTTCAAAGACAAAATATAAGAAAATTTCATGTTTGAACTTGATAACTATAACTTTATTGAAGTATGTCTTTGAATATGTTATTATATTTTATTAAATTCCGATTTAAACTTGGAATATATAATTTTTATTTTCGAAAAACTGAGTACTGGGTGTCTAACGGTTGAGAAAATCGAAATAAGCTGGAAAATATGCGGAAAAAATTAAGACCAGAAAAAGTCGGAAATATACTGAATTTTCATATGCAATCGAAAAATGAAGATAATATCGCGAAATAATTACCAATATTCCATATGCAACTAAGCTATACTCTGTGAGATTTTTTCGGGTTTTTTGGCCGTCGTCTGCAGGTTTTTATGCCTGCAGTTTCGTCTACTACTGCGGTAAACATTATTAAAGGCGATGTGGTAACGGTCGCCGTGCTCGAGTTCTTTCCGTCGTTTCGACCAGATTAACTACGATGCTCGTATTTGACTCTGGTTTTATATTATTATTAGTGAGCGTGGCTTGGTTTCTCTTAATTGTATTACCTGACCTTGTTTGGAAGTGCAATTTTTTTTTGAATCCTTCGAAAAATAAAACCAAAAAAAAATAAAAACCATTTTCCGAAATTTCTGTTTTTTCCGGATGTCCGGATATACTCGGACTTTCTCAACGGCATTATGTTAGTCAAATAAATGCGCAACTTTGTCCCAATTTAACCATCTTCGAATCTCTTATAGTTTCAGAGATCCCAATGGCAGGGATCTAATTTGAAACACCCTGTATATAATTATGTATATAATTGTTATAACCACACGCACAAGGATATATCTTTTAGTGGGCTAATTGTTATATTCACCGTAATTATATTTATTCATTTATTTATCGTATCACAAAATCATGTCAATTGAATATGGAAATATATATTATTATATCATCAGCTGAATTCTGATTTCAATTCTATTCGTGATATTTTTAAAAAATGTGCCCTTCCATGACGTTTTCCAGTAACACTTGAATGTGAGATTTTCACTGGACAGTTTACGAAACCGTATCACGTGTTTCTCTGTACCAGGGGTCGGCAAGTAGTTTTAGGTGGAGTCCGGAGACTGTGGGAAAATTTTGACAGTGTCCAGAAAAAAACAACTGATAAAAATTAAGTGCTACTTGTGCATTATTTTGGTTTCAAATCAAATTCTGAATTATAAAACACAAGACCTAAAATTAATGTGAGAAATTACACCGGTGGTCTTGAGTCCGTTTTTTATAGTTTGGTTCTCGAGAGGAACAGCAAATTTGAAATGTGTTTTCTAGGTGGGCGTTCTTTAGTCTCAAACGATATTTGTTTTTCAAAAAATTCATCTTTGAGAAATATGTTTCACATACGTATATCGAGCCTAACATAATGGTAATTTATAGCTAGTTTCTTGCAATTTTCATTTTTTTCTGGAACATGTTTGATGCCGTTTTATATGGATGTGGTTACAGTTTTATATGAAGTGATGCCTTAANGTAGTCTTAATGTTCGTATTACGAATTTAATGCGTATATATACATAAATTATTATGTAATGAATTTTACATCAAATGTGTATTATTCCAATTCGAGGACAAAAATACATAATATAACGTTGGCAACTAATTGCCAACGTTTTTTATGTGTTTTTACATTTTTCTTTTTACAGTGCATATCTAAGTTTTTATCAACCAGAAACGTTCAATAACTTGACCCCAACTTAGCCAACGAACGTTGTTGTGTTGCAGTAAGTCAGAATACGCTGAATCACATTCAGAAAAAAACTCCTTGAAATGTCGATGCTGAAGAGCAGAACGAGATCTCATAAAATTAATCAACTTGACCAAGCAGTCCGTCACTTCTTTCAGTGTAGCACTAAGTTTTCCAGAAAGGTCTTCCTGGTGAATTGTGCACTGATACGATATTAAACCCGAGTTTGTATCCCCGATTCTCTTTAGTACACCTTTTTCTTTGCAAATAATTGCTGGGGTCCCATCAGTTGAAAGCAATACCATTTTATCAAAACTAATGTTAGATTTAGTAATAAATCAATAATTCAATGACCTTGAATAAATCTTCTCCTCGAGTCTTGCCTTTCAACGGCAATATTGCTAGCAACTCTTTCCTAAAAATCTGACATTCAATATCAAGAAATCTTACGAAAATAGACATTTGTTCATCATCAACAATGTCACATGATTCATCATGTGCAATGGCGTAGCAAAGTACCTTTTGCAGAAGTCCAAGAGGAGTGTTTTTAATATTAGCAGCTAAAATTTCCGTTTGTCGTATATTACTTCTCGCTGATAATGGAATACTTCAAATTACAGCGACAATATCTTGTTTTTCTTCAAAAAGTTCCGTAACTACTTCCAACATACGTTCCTTCATAAAGGTTTTCTTTACAAGCCTCACTGCCATGAGGAAAGTTTTTGTGAAATTTCTGATGAGTTGTTTCGTAGTGTTGCTTCAAATTGCCAGTCCTAACAATAGCGACAGTTTCATTGCATATAAGGCACACTGGAACCGCTTGAGGCCTATCAGGCGACGTAAAACAATACTGTTCACTCCAATCCGCCAGAAACCTCCTATTTTCACTGTCCACTCTACGCTTTTTAGTACCCTTATTAGCATGAGTACGAAAATATTATGAAAACGCGAAAAATCACAAAAGAAATGGATGGTTACTCGGCGGTTTGCCCTCCCACTGACAGTGTACTTTCCCTCGCTCACACGCCCGCACCCCCGATTTCGATGCTCGCTCGCGCTTGTTTTAACAAAACAAAACAGTTGCTAGCGCGCACAAACACACACGCACAGGGTAGATGGGAAACTAATAAAACCATATCAGTTGTAGGTATAGTCGAAGTAACTGGTATAGTCATTCTTAAAGCTACCGGCGAACTCAAAAGCCAAAAAATCCAATACAAAGAAATAATGTCGCTACGAATTAGTCCACGTGGACTGAAGATCTGGCGGTTCGTATTGGATAATTTTTACTAACCGAATTTTATGAATGGTGAATTTATAATTACTTAAAATTTTTGTTATTTTTTTAAAATGTGGCGTCCCAGGACAAGTACTAATGGTAATAACGAGTGTGATAATAACGCAGACTTTTTCCTGTGTAGTGATTCTAATAGCGCTGGTGAACAATGCGAAAAAGAGATACCATGGAATTAGATTCGGATGCATTTGAATATTGAAACACAGAGAGTATGTTTCAATGTATATAAGAATCTACATATCAAGTTTGGTTTCGAGGGGAAAAAAAACTATTTCAAGCAACATCAGATTTGACCGAAATTCCTTTCTCAACTGTACGTAAAATAGTTAAAAACATTCCTTATGAACGCAAGACGCGATGTGATGCGGGATTACCAAAACCTTTGGATGTTCATCTAATAAAATCATTAAAAAAAACAATATGTTACAAAACCAATGAGATTCCTACAATTGAAAAGAAGAAATTGAATACTTCCGGCCATAACGTGAGCTGCTGTGACAAAACTCTTCAGAATTGGATAAAGAAACTAGGATTCAGATACAAAATAATAAACAAACGTCAAGCAGTTATGGAAACAGAAGAATAGTGGAATTGCGTAACAAATACTTAGAACAAATAACTAAATATAGACAAGAACAACGGCAAATTTTCTATTTGGACAAAACTTGGTATGACACTCACGTCACAGTTACG